ATTGATGAAGAATGCCAGAAGATCCGGGAGAGGATCCTTGAAGGGCCCGTGGAGAACTTTCGAGTACGTGATGACGGTCTTTTACTGTTTAAGGACCAGGTATGCATACCAAAGAGTGAGGAGCTCCAAAAGTCTATACTAGAGGAGGCTCATTCTTCGGCATATGCTATGCATCCAGGAGGTACTAAAATGTACCGAGACTTGAAGGAAAGTTACTGGTGGTCGGGTATGAAGAGGGATATCGCAGAGTACGTGAGCCGATGCCTTACTTGCCAGCAAGTTAAGGCGGAGCACCAGCACCCGGCAGGGCTTTTGCAGCCACTGACCATTCCGGAATGGAAGTGGGAACACGTGACCATGGACTTCGTGGTGGGGCTACCACGAACAGTGAACAACTACGACGCAGTATGGGTAGTGGTTGATAGGCTCACCAAGAGTGCACACTTTTTGCCTTTCAACATTACTTATCCTCTTGAAAGATTGGCAAAGCTATACACGGAGGAGATTGTGAGACTACATGGAGTCCCGATATCCATTGTCTCGGATAGGGATCCACGATTCACATCTCGGTTTTGGCCCAAGTTTCAAGCATCTTTGGGTACTAAATTGAAGTTTAGCACAGCTTTTCATCCGCAGACGGATGGACAATCTGAGAGAGTGATACAGATCCTGGAAGATATGCTTAGGGCATGTGCTTTGGAGTTCCAAGGAAGTTGGGACAAACATTTGGCTCTAGTTGAGTTTGCCTATAACAACAGTTATCAGGCGAGTATTGGCATGCCTCCATACGAGGCGTTGTATGGGAGGAAATGCAGGACACCGTTGTGTTGGGACGAGGTTGGCGAGGCCAAGCTCGAAGGAATTGAACTTGTTGAAATCACCAAGGCTAAGGTGAAGGTCATTCAGGATAGACTTAAGGCTGCCCAAGATCGGCAGAAGAGTTATGCCGACAAACGACGCAGGCCATTGGAGTTCGAGGTTGGTGATAAGGTCTTCCTAAGGATTTCTCCTTGGAAGGGCATCATCCGATTTATATCGAGGGGAAAGCTTAACCCCCGATACATTGGTCCATTTGAAATCCTTGAAAGGATAGGGGCTGTGGCATACCGTCTCAAGTTGACGCCGGAACTTGAGAAGATACATGACGTGTTTCATGTATCGATGCTCAAGAAATACGTGAGAGATCCATCTCATATTCTTGAGAAGCCACCGGTGGAAATACGTGAAGATCTACAATATGCGGTGGAACCGGTAAAGATCGTGGGTCAACAGGTGAAGAAACTGAGGAACAAGGAGATTCCTATGGTAAAGGTCCTTTGGAGGAGTGATCGAGTCGAAGAAGAAACCTGGGAGACTGAGGTCTCAATGAGGGAGCAATACCCGTTTCTTTTCGATTAGACACGTGGATTTCGGGGACGAAATCCCAATTAAGGGGGGGTGAACTTGTAACACCGTCCCCAAAAAGTATTTACTTTTAAGTAAATAATGTATTGAACTTATGGAATGGTTAACGAGTATTCGAAGTTGTGAATTTTTATTAATGTTTTTGCGTGAATAGTAAATTCGCACGTGGGGCCCGCACCGGGAACGGGGGCCGCCTGATATTCCCGAGACCCTATAGTTTATTCATCTTGGTCAATATAACATTTATATAGTGGTGGATAATTTATTTGGTCCAAAGAAATAATATAGAGTTGACCGGTTGATCAAAAAGGCCCAAATACCGGTATTGGCAATTTAACCGATAAAAGCCCGAAATTAAATTTCGGGGACTTATAAATTAAAGTTGGGGAATGAATATTCATTATAAGAGTCATAATGATGGAGAACACATAATATAATTTATTTGACCCGATAAAATAAAATATAATTAAAACAGTCGGAAAAATACAACTTTCGGGACCGGTTGTACACTTCTGGACAAAAAGGGTTGACCTCCCACATGGGTGGGGGCCAACCCACGAATTTGCCACAAGAAAGGGGGCTGATTTGCCTCAAACATGGTCTGAAAACCTTGAGGAGATGGGAGGGACAAGCTTGACATCCTAAGGACCCCATCCTCACTCATTTGGCAAAAATGCCAAAAAAGAAACCTCACCTCTCTCTCCCTCATCCTCTCTCTCGGCCAGCACCAACCCAAGCAAGACAAGGAGAACCTCCATCCTTCCTTCCCCATCCTTGAAGAGAGCTCAAACAATAGAGGTACAAGGAGGAAGATTAAAGAGGGAAAAGCTAGGTAAAAGTGTGAAAGATTAAGGTAATGACCTTATCATAACTCTCCTTTACTTTTCTCCTACCATATGAGATATACATCATATGAAGAACCCCTAGGATTGTTCTACATGTTATGAGTGTGGAATAATGGGTTGGAAGGTGGTTCTATGTCCAAAAACGGACATAGAAGCCAAAACGACCGGTTTACCGGAAAATAACCTTTTAGAGGTTATTTTTATTGATTAAGGTTTTATGATGTTAAAACCTTGTTAGGAACTTGATTAAAGTATTTTTGAGCTTCGCCGGAGTTTCGCCGGAGTTGGTCAAAGTTCACCGGAGTTGGTCAAAGTTTGCCGGAATTAGTCAAAGTTCAACCGCGGAGCGTAGAACACGCTTAAGCTCACTTAAGGTGAGGATGACCGACTATATTGCTTATAATCTTTGGGTTAATTTCATAAGATTTCCTAAATGGATATATATAATGTGATTTGCATGGATTATTAATGGTTAATAATGCCTAAATGAAATTACTATTGATTATAAGTATAGTTTGCATAATATACAAATTTATTAAATAAATTGTGTATGCCTAAATGTTATGAATATGATGACATGATAGTAGTATCAACCATAAAACCCACTTGTGATAAGTATACTTTTATTTCATGAGAAGAAGCCATGAAGGAATAAAAGTGATATTTTGATATTGAGGCCAAATTACATATTGAATGAAGAATTACATTGAAATGAATAAATAACTAGTATTGAAATATTAGTTGGAATTGTAGTTGAATAATGGATGAATGGATCCTAAGAAAGTGAATTGTAAAGAATCGGTGATTATTGAGCTGGGCTCTAGACCGATGTAGATAACGGTGATTATTGAGCTGGGCTCTAGACCGTAGTAGTTATCGGTGATTATTGAGCTGGGCTCTAGACCGATGTAGATAACGGTGATTATTGAGCTGGGCTCTAGACCGTAGTAGTTATCGGTGATTATTGAGCTGGGCTCTAGACCGATGTAGATGACGGTGATTATTGAGCTGGGCTCTAGACCGTAGTAGGTAACGGTGATTATTGAGCTGGGCTCTAGACCGTAATAAGAAATGATGAATTGACACTAAACGAATAAAGTTAACCACGATACAATAACACCCTAGATTGAGGGTCTTGGAAATTGAAACTTTGATTATATTTAGTATAGTTGTCATTGTACTTGTCAAATGCTTCCAAGTACTGACCTCCCCTTCACGGGGGAGGCCACCTCACAGTTTCAGGTAGAACTTGAAGGTTGCTACCACCGCCCGTTGCTTCGGGAAGATCAAAGGAGGGAGACGTGGTTCGTGCTTCTTCCGTTCCTGTTTTGAAAACATTTTGAACAATGCTCATGGATACTATTTTTAAATATTTGTTTGGGGGCTTGTATGCCCATGGTTGCCAAAGTGTGGCATAAACACTTATATTAAATGTTTCCGCTGCTTGAATGAATATTTTACATTATGTTTGTTTATGGATGTACTACGTGTGAATGATATTCCAGACGCCTTGTATAGTATGGATGTGTTGGACTGCGGTTGACCATTCGTACTGTACGGCGGATTGTTGACGTGTCCGGGTAGGTCCGGGGCGTGACAACGCATGATGTTCTTAAAAGCATCTGTTGCCTAGCTCCCACGGTGTTGGAGCGTTGCAACAACCGTTTCTCAAGATACGATGACTACGAACAATTGTTTGAGCACTCAACAAATTGTTCCAGCGCACGAAAACAGAGTATGAACACTTAGGAATTTTTCGGAAAACTGGAGGTGTGTTTAGCTCGAAAACTACGTGTTAACTGTGTATGAACGTGTGTTGTTGCAAAACACCTGCCAGCTATATATAGGGATGGATTTGTTGTGTGTTAAGTAACCTTTAATGTACCTGAACGTTGGATATAAATGACCAGCACGTTGGACATTAATATGTCGAAAAACTGTCCATTTAAAGACGTATTAACGAAGAAGAACGTTGGGCATTAACTGTTGTAACGGATCAGAACCGTTCTGGTGCGCGACCAGAACACCACGTCTTCTGGTTCCGGAGCGACCAGAACAACAGAGGTCTTTTGGTCCGAGCTCCGTACTAGAGGACTTCGATCGAGCAGTTCTTGTTTTGGGAAAAAAATAAAACGTTATGGGAAGAAACAAAAATTAATTCGTATCTTTGAAAGATTGTTTTTTGGACGACATTCGTGTCCGAAGGTTGCCCACGCTCGCAGGTTGCAGTTTTTCTTCTTCGTTCTCGGGATTTGATCGCACCCCCTTGTGCGCAAAGAGAACCTTTCCACTTAGGAATCCTAACTTCTTAAAGAGGGTTCCCTTTATATATAAGGGGTTCAAAATCCCTTGTGTTTTCCGATATGGGATAAATCAAACTAGAAACTCATCTGTTCTCCCAGTTTTTTCATTTCAACGAGTGAACTTCGAGAATCAATTTCTCATTCACTCGTTATCTATTTTGAGTGTACCACGTATCAAATTGTAGCCTTTAACAAGGATAATCCGAAATCACTTTGACCCGACCCAAATCGGAAGTAGACACCACTCAAAATATTGCCCAAACTTGACCATTTAATGCAATTTTAACACATTTTTTCAACATTTAGATCTGTCGTGAGTGAGACTTGGTCAACCCATTACACTTGATCCAATGGTCCTTTTGAAAGGGTTGGGTACGTACGATTATTACCATCATCGCTACAGGCGGTTTATTGTGTATAGTTGATGTGTTGCTTTCCTCAAGCAGCCCAGCTCCACTTCTTCCATTCTCACTTATTATAAATACTGCTCCCACGCTCTCATTATTCTTACCTCCAATCATTTTAGCAACCTTTAATTTTCTTCTTCATCTCTACTCTCCTTACAAAACAATACTTGTGACAAAGATGGAGCACAATCATTTCATCATTAAACTCCTCACATTTCTTTGCGTAAGTATACCTTTAATTTGAAACCTTATTAACTGTTACAATTAGCTTCTTTTGTATATGGGTTCCATATTTTTCTCAACAAAAATTATATAGGTACTCCAAATGTACCCCATTTTGTACCCACCCCCTGAATTGTCTGTGTACACAGGCAATTCGTTTGAAAGAGGGCAGGACTTTCTGTCTAAATGTCTGTGTACACAGACGGTGTACAGATTGGGGTACAAATTGGGGTACTCCAAGCAGGACTCTTTTCTCAATCTTTTGCATTAAGGATGTTTTTACTTGGACTGTAATATGTCCCGACCAGACCAAATCAGACTAGACTTGGATAGTTATAAAAATACAAAGAAATTAGACCAATCAGACCAGTTCAGACTAGACCAGACCAGACCAAGCAAATTGCAGTCCAAGTAAAAACTCCTAATTATTTCCTGGTCATATCAAGTCCCTGATTTTTGTTACAATTAGATTGAACTCAAACTATTTTTAAAATTTTTATATGTTTTGCTGAAAACATAAATCCAAGATTGTGTAAATCATGAAAATTAACACTACCATCTTTCAATTTTTAGAGCAACTCGGATCCTGTTTGGAGTGCACGTCAATATATTTTCATTATTTGGTAATTAATTCGTTTTATTTTCTTTCTTTACTTTTCTAAATTTTTCATCAGGTGGCGGTGGTGGCAAGCCAAGCAGCTTTGTCTTCCTCACGGGCGCAGAGTTACTGGAACTCTGAGCTTCCAAACACTCCAATTCCCCAAGCAATTAAGGATTCCCTGCCCCAAACATCTGGTTAGTCTCCTTTTGTAAATTTTATTCCCTAATATTTACTGTACTTCTTTATATCATTCCATCCATTGGAAAACTTTTTTAAAGATGTAAACATTTTCACGTTTTGTCAATGTAAAACTTCCATTTTCATATATTTATACTGCTATTGGTAATAAATTTAAAAAGAATTGAAATATTGATATGGGGCGAATTTAATAGTATTAAAAAGACTTGTTATTAATTTTAGAATATGGTGAAAACAGAATAGTGTAAAATTCAATATATTGCCATTATTTAAGAACGAAAATAGTATAACTCATTCATTAATAACAGATACTACCTCCGTCCCAATTTGATGGTCTCGTTTCTTTTGGGCACAAATTTTAATAAAGTGGTTGAAAAGGTAAAAATTGTGGTTGAGATTTGAGTAGAAAAAGGTGAAATGTTGTGGACCACATCTTTCTTTCCAAAAAGGGAAACATGACCATCATTTTGGGACATCCCAAAAAGGAAATACGGGACAATCATTTTGGGATGGATGGAGTAACAAACTAATTTTATTACTTTCTCGGATTGAGTAATTTTTATCAAAAATTCCTTTTGTACACGTTTTTGTACCCATCAGTACATCAGTACATGCATGTGTCTGTGAGAGTTTTTTTTTATCTGTGAAGTGCGGTCCACAGACAAAAGCTGGTTTGTTTTGTCTGTGAAATTTTCCACAGACAAAACAAGCGAACTTATGTCTGTGGACCGCGCTTCACAGACAAAAAAAAACTCTCACAGACACATGTGTGTACTGATGGGTACAAAAACGTGTACGGTTGAATTTTTATTCCTCTTTCTGCAGCATAAAACTTAGCAACATAATTTTAACTTTATTATTTTATGTGCAAACTAATTTTAGCCAAATAAATGATGACAATTGAGTTGAATTGCATCTGGAACAAGGATTAATGAATGACAATAAATGATGTTTGCTATTTACACTTTTGCTTATCTTCCTAAAATTAGATGTGTGCTTTTTTTGAAGAAAAAATTAAATGTGTTTAAGTTAATGGAAAAAATGTAAAAGCAAGGGTAAATTCATCACTTTATTCTTATTTACATAGCTAAAATAGAAAGTGAAAAAACATTTTAGAACAACCAAAATAAGAAACTTTGCAAAGAAAATAAAAAAAGTTAATTTAACTTCGAAGTTAAAAAATTCCCAAACTCTGAGTAATAATTCCCAAACTCCAAAAAAAAGAAAAAAGGTGCAATAAGCCCGTGTACTAACCAAAAAAACTCAAATAAACCCTTATTTAGGAGGCTCTGTCCAACCTTCACTATTTAGAGTGGTTCCTGGTGGAATTTTTTGATGAAAATTTTTTAGCATCTTATTCATTAAGTGTAATTTACGTACTCATGCCAAATTTCAGCAAAAATTTCAATCGGAAAGGCATTCAAATGAATTCTCGAAGATAACTGCGCTTTTAACTGCACAGTTATCTATCTTCGAGAATTCATTTGAATGCCTTCCCGATTGAAGTTTTAGCTGAAATTTGGTATGAGTAAACTAGACTTAATGAATAAGATGCTCAAAAAATTTCATCAGAAAATTCCACCGGGACCACCCCAAATGGCGACGGCTGGACATAACCTCCTAAATAAGGGATTATTTGACCTTTTTTGGTGAATAGATGAACCTATTTGCACCTTTTTCCCCAAAAAAACATCCCAATATCCGAGTAAAATACGTTCTAAAATAAGAAAGCCACTGCCACCGGACTTCCGCCTGGAGCGACATACATTTTAGCCGCCGAATAGGGATTACGCATTTATTTATGCACGACAAAACCCAAGTAAAATTGATAAACTACAAGTTAATTATTATCATTAACCTCTGATCTGACCCTAAATTATAAACCAGAGATTGAAAAAGTAATGAGCCTTTTTAGATATAAAATACTCCTACTTTGGTAATGTTTTGCTCATACTATGTATTTGAGTCAATGAAACAAATTAAACTAAACAATGTTAGTGTTCATGCCCCAGGAAAATCCGGGACCAATGTCGGTGTCGGGAAAGGCGGCGTCAGCGTCCATGCGCCAGGGGGGGCTAACGTGGGTGTCGGAAAAGGTGGTGTCTCCGTTGGCAACGTCGGGAAACACGAAAAGTCGGTCAGAGTACACTCGGACGGCCAGAGGAACTACCTCTCCGCCGCAACAGAAGACCAGCTCCAAGGAAAGCGGGTCAAAGTACACTTGGACGGCCAGAGAAACTACCTCTCCGCCGCAACAGAAAACCAGCTCCACGGAAAGCGGGTCAAAGTACACTTGGACGGCCAGAGAAACTACCTCTCCGCCGCAACAGAAGACCAACTCCACGGAAAGCGGGTCGGAGTACACCCGGACGGCCAGAGAAACTACCTCTCCGCCGCAACAGAAGACCAACTCCACGGAAAGCGGGTCGGAGTACACCCGGACGGCCAGAGAAACTACCGCTCCGCCGCAACAGAAGACCAGCTCCACGGAAAGCGGGTCGGAGTACACTCGGACGGCCAGAGAAACTACCTCTCCGCTGCAACAGAAGACCAACTCCACGGAAAGCGGGTCGGAGTACACTCAGACGGCCAGAGAAACTACCTCTCCGCCGCAACAAAAGACCAGCTCCACGACGACCCCAGCGTCGCCCTCTACTTCCGGCCCGCCGCCTTACATCGAGGCAACACCGACATGACCTTGGACTTCACGAAAACCGAAAACGATGCCGTTTTCTTGCCCCAGACGGAATCTGAAAAAATACCCTTCTCCTCCCAGAACATCCCAGAGATTCTCAACCGTTTCTCCGTCAACCCCGACTCCGACGAAGCTCAGGCGATGAAGCAAACCATCAAAGAATGCGAAGATCCGGCCATCATGGGAGAGGAGAAACAATGCGCCACATCACTAGAATCCATGATCGAATTCTCCAAATCCAAGCTGGGCAGCGACAAGAAAATCCAGGCAGTATCAACGGAAACCCTCGCCGGAGACACATCCTCCATTCAGAAATACACCATTTCAGGCGTCGAAAAACTGAACAAGAACGAAGGAGTGGTGGTCTGCCATAAGCAAAGCTTCCCATACGCAGTGTTCTATTGCCACAAGTCAAAGAGGACAGATGCTTTTAAGGTTTCTCTGGTCGGAGGTAATGGAGGTCAGGTTAAGGCAGCGGCGGTTTGCCACAAAGATACCACCGTTTGGAACCCTAAGCATTTGGCTTTCCAGGTGCTTAAGGTCAAGCCAGGGGTTCCTGTTTGCCATTTCCTTTCGGAGGATACCATTGTCTGGGTTGCCCAGAACTAATAATCTTCATCTTCAATTGCATCGCTTTACTTTAATTAGCTGTTTGCATTTTCCATGCTTCTTCCATATGTAATATATATGAAGTATGAGTTTTTCTTAGTACGTGTAATAATACCTCAAAAAATGTTTAAATAAAAGATGATTGTAAATATTCCATGTTCGTTTTTGGTGGGTGAAACTTTACAGAAATTTGATTGTAAATATTGAAGAATCTAATTAGGTACAAATTGCACATTATAAAGAAGCTTGACGATCGCCTTGAATAGTTTTTATAGCCACCGTGCCTTTTCCTGCAATCGTCATCTCTCATTCGGGTTACACCATTTTGCGTCTCATCGAGATCCTTGAATAAGGTCCTTGAACCAGTCATGTGATTTGAACAGCCGCTATCAACAAACCAAACACTATTAGTGACATCAGTTGCACTTGAATGAGTCATGAATAACTTGTTTTCTTCCTCTGTTCTACAAAATTAGCCTTCGGTTCACCCATCTGCTTACTCAGGTGCTCTGCCTCTTGTGCCCAAACTTCTTGCACTGGTAGCATCGAATTGCACTTCTGTTTTGACGCCCTTCATCAAAGCACCCTCGTCCTCTGCCTCTACCGCGCGCTCAGCCACGAAAACCACCTTTACCGGCCATTACCTCTACCGCGCGCCCTTCATCAAGTACCATTACCATTCTGCCTTTACCTTGTATGAAGAGAGGAAGGCCTTCATAATAGTGACCATAGGAGACAAACTATGACTAACCTTAGCTTGAAAATTAAATGAGGTTTATTGTCAAAAACTAGAGCACTTATTAGAGAACTACAACTGAACTTGTTAGGAATCCTAAAACAAAGGTTGAATTGAAGGAAATGCAACTCCAAGGAGAAATAACCGCGTGTGTAGACTTTGCTTTGCTTCTAACATAGAAAGAAGAATGGCGATGGAAATAACACTTGGTACATCAACACTGGTGATATGATACCAATCTATGCTTAAAAGAAGTATATTCATGGAATTTATATGAACTAATAGGGGCGATATAATGTCGCTTTAGACGAATCAGATTTTCATAAATCATCAGAATCGGCCAACAGCCACTTCAGCCAAAACTTCATAGATATCAATGGAAACGGCCGATTCGGCCGATTTCAGTGTTACCAAACGTGCTCTTAATTTGCAGAAATAAATACTTCCATCTCTAAGAAAAATATGTGTTAATAATAAAAGAAGAGTACAAATTCAAAATCTTCAAGCCCTAGTTGAGAAGAAAGTTACTTATAGATGAAGCCATGTGATAAGATCATGGATGAGAATTTATATGAGATAAAATTCAAAAGAGTTAATTATCAAAATAAGACTAAAAGTCACTCCATTTGCACAAATAGGACCAAAAAATAAACTATGTTTTCATAGGACTAATTGTGTGTGTCTTGGACAAATATACCCTTGTAGCTATTGAATTGTTTTAATTCACAATAAAATAATAAAAATATAAAATAATCAATAAAAATACTAAAAAAATAATAAAAATATTTAAATAATATTAATTTAAAGTTTTTAAAAAATAATTTTTAAAAATAAAAAATAAAAAAATGTAAAAAAAAACATTGTCGCCCCACCACCACCACCTCGAGTCACCGGGGGGGGGGGGGGGGGGGGGGGGGGAATGCCACATTCATTACGAATGTCATGTGTATGGCAGAAACAATGAAAATGTTGTCGTTCTCAAAGAGTAATATGCCATTATATGGCATCTTTAGGAAAAAAATGGCAGTTTTTAGAAAAAAAATTGCATTTTTACACCAGTTGGAGGTGGTGGTGCAGAGAGGCAGTACCACCACCACCATTGGGGGGATGCCACTTGAATTAGGAATGTCATATTTATGGCAGAAACAATGAAAATGTTGGCATTCTCAAAGAGTAATATGTCATTTTTTGGCATTTTCAGAAACAATGAAAATGTTGGCATTTTATGGCAGTTTTTTTTTTTGAAAAAATGACATTTTTTTACACCGTTCGTATTTACTATGGGTATATGTCCGATTCCGCTATATGTATATTTGGTACATATAGTGCAATGAGAAGGATGCAAATGATAGGAAAGAGAGAAAAACATTATTGCATGTTTTTAAACTTTTAAGGTTAAATCTTACTTGTGCACTTTTAAATTTTCTAAACAGCAGTTGTTTCCGTAACATACATTAATGTTTCTAGGCATGTCCCTTTCAAAAAGGTTCGATAGTCATATGTGATACGTTTGTAATTTCCGTATGTATGTTTACGTTTTTAGCTAGTTTTGGTTGTTTAGTATTTCGGAAATTACACACTTTTGGTGTAATAGTTTAGTTTGTTGAATTCTTGTAATTTGTTTAGATTAGGGTCATTCTGAGCTCAAACAGGTCTACCATCACTCAAAGGACAGTTGGTGAACCCCAAAAGTGGAAGGAAGGTGCAAAATCACAAGACAAAAGGGAAAATCCTGATTTTGGTCTATACTCGGTCGAGTATTACCTATACTCGATCGAGTATAAGGTTGAAACTTCAAATCGGATCGGATCCGAAGACAAAGGAACATGCCGGGAAGATTTTGGCCACGATTCAATGTCTATACTCGATCGGGTAGACCGACATACCCGATCGAGTATGCCTTTGAGTTTAAACCCGAAATCGGTCGAGTATGGCTCGAATATCACTTTCTACACATACTCGACCGAGTATGAACATATACTCGATCGAGTATACCTCGAATCTGGTATTTCTACACATACTCGATCGAGTATCTGTATATACTCGATCGAGTACCCGAGCTGCACTCCCAAAAAGCCTATAAATACACCTCCTTTCCTTCACAAAAATCAATCCCTTCTTCCATACTCTTAAGCTCAGTTTAGAATAGTATTTCTTTTATATTTTTATAGCATGTTTAGTCTCCAAATGAGGAGCTAAACTTCCATTTCTTGGTATTGCTCTTGAAGCTTGTTGATTATTAAAGTTGTGAGTTATTTTCTTTACTTCTTTTCCTTGAATATTAATTCTTCCTTTAAATACTATTTCTATATCAATGTTGGGGAGTGTTACTAAGATGACAATTAGTTAACATCTTGACATTGGTCTTAGTAATAGCTATTCCTTCCTCTATGTTAATATCGGGGAGTGTTACTAAGATGACAATTAGTTAACATCTTGATATTAACCATAGTAGGATTCATCTTCTTTAATATTCTTCCTTGAATATTAATTAATCCCTATTCATATTTCATATTAATATTTTGAACATTACTTAAAGGATCAACTAGTTTTGTTTCACATATTAATTATTACTAGAAACGATCAACGAACCGATGGTTAATCGTTGATAGTTTCACAAGTAAGTAACTTCGGTTTATTAATGCACGGTCGTGGTTAATAAACTTAAGAGGGATTAATTTTGTTGGTTAAACCGAAACCGTTGTGTTGAGGTTATCAATCTCAATTGATTTCATCAAGGAGTTAAAAGATTAAATGCTACTATCAAGTCGGTATATGGCGTTGTTCTATACTTGACTAATAGTAAGGGTTATTAATGAACGGTTGTTGTTAATAACTATCCTCGATGAATTGGATATACTCCTCGATTGAGTATTCGAGAGGAGATAAGTTATAGATATAACAATGATCGACTAAAATATATCAACAAGTGGAAAGTAGCAATGCCAAGTCACTTTTATCTTTGAATTAAATCCCATATAACTCGTTCATCTTCGTGTTTAATTTA